TTACTAAACCGCAACATTTGCGATCAAACGCAAAACGACCAAGTCAATTCTCCCACCGCGTTACATTATCATACCTTCAAGTTTGTTAAGCTGACATTTTCCTTAAAGGATATCCGAAAAGTCTTTGAAATAATAACTTTTAGGAGGAAGGTTCTGAATATCAATAGCTTTCAGAGTCGTACCACCAAGAAACATGAACTTTTTTGAATGATCACAAATCTTCCACTGAAAATCATTATCAAACATCGTGGAATTATTGATTATGCAAGTAATATTTTCTTGAATTCGTCCCTTCCATTTTGGTGTATGGCCAGCATGAATCAATACTTGAGTCCTATCACCCTAATGACATAAGAAACTAATCAATAACAACAGAACGTTATTTTTTACAACATATAATATGATTTGAAGAAATTGCAAAAAGTTACAGTTGTATCCATGATAACCATCTCCAAATGCTCGATGCCCTTGCTATTAATAACACTCCATGAATCAATGACTCAAACAACCAATCTCCATGTTTCCTTTGTGTTGTTGATGTCCTTGACACATTCAAATCTCCTACTCATCTTCTTCTTCTGCAAATGAAAAACAAAATGGATTAATTTCAGGAAAAAATTAATATACGTTCATTTTATGTGATCTGAAATAGTGACTAATATTGATATGATGGTTTAGGGTTTCGATTAAACAATCTTAAAATCATAACACAAAAGATAAAATTGTTTAAGAATATCGTTAAAGTCGAAAATTGCTTTATGTGTATGAAATGGAATCAGAGAGAAGATGAATGGATGGAAGAAATTGAGATGAAGAGCCATCTCTTATAAAGATGGAGGAAACAACAGGGGAAGTGCAACTGATAGAAGGAAGCTTGTGCAATGGATGAGGTTCCCAATGTTGGGTATTGAATATATGTATTGCAAATTGCAAGGATTATACACGGAGAAGTTAAATGTAGTTGAAAAAGTGATTAAGATGCAGTGAAAAGAAAATTTAAATAAAATAAAATATTAGGAATTTTAATGACTTATAGGTCCTTGGAAATCCTTGCTAAAACTGGTTTTAGTTGGTTATTGAAGTAATTATGATGGTAATTACTTTTATTACATTAAAAGTAGATTGCTTGCTCCCATGGAACATCCTCATTGCATGCTACTGAAGGTGTTGATTCTGAAATATGAACATTATTCAATCCTTTATTGCGATACCTAATGTTAGGCCGATAACCATCTTCACCATACGAAAACAGTAATGGATACTAAAATTCCAAATATGAAGTATGATATTCATCTATTCTCTGAAGTTGACCATATTGTTTCAGCATTATAATGTCTCTCTTTTCTGCGGTATCAACATCACTGACAATTAGCGTATCTACTTTAGAAATAGTTGGTTGATTATATATTCGTCCATCAGTACGTTGCTCAGAAATGAGACAGAGTTTTAGGTTAGAAACATTGCCTTCAACAAGTCTATCCCTCGCCATTTTAAAACACTTATCATGCATGTTATGTTCATATAGCATTGAAGATAATTTTTGCACTATATTAATATCAACTCCTCTTTTTGTTCTGAAAATGTAACAAAATATAAGTCAAATGATATATGCTCTGAAACATATTGATAAACTATTAATAAATTTATAAAAATAAAGGAACAAACCTGACTCAATAACCCTATTTTGAATTTCATGTTCGGTATGAAATATATAAAGCTGTGCAAAACATGGATTTTAATCTGGCAATGGTAAGATGCTTCCTATGCGATGACATGATTGACCTTGAATTTGATAATTAGGAGGATCTCTACCATTATTGAATATGTTGTCCATCTTAGCACCAGGAGAAGTAAATGTGAACATCATGTTATATACACGAATTTGTTGTTGAAATAGTTCTCATTCACTATTGGTTTGGTTAAACAACAATTTCTGCAATTATGGTGGTGGTGGTCTCAACAAAGGAAGTTGAACCTTTCCTTCTCTACAACACATCGAGAACTTAGGATTAGCTGCATGTCGACACTTGTTCCTCCTCTCTAAATACCACATATTAGCATCACATTACCGACACTCAAACATTAGATCACCTATATCATAATATTCTCCTAAATGATGACATATAATTGTTAGAGAAAATCTTTATTCAATAATTAAAATTGAGTTATAAAATTTAATTTCTTTATTAAAAATACCTGAAATCTATAAATCTAATTAAAGAGATTCACTATCAAAACTTTCACCGGCATCATCCATAAAAGAATTAGAATCTGAACTAAAACCCGTGATTATATATAAATACATCATAATTAGAAGAAACTGACGTGAATAAATATATTAGATATAAATATAATTGAAAATAGTAACATACCTTTTGAAGAATCTTCACTACTTTCGTCGTCTCCACTGTCATGTAGAAAAAGTTTGTTGATTTGTGAAACTGGTTGTGAGGGGCTTGTTTGAAGATGTAGAAGCACCATGACTAAACACATTATAAAATCTCCTTGCCAAATTCACTCCAATATTGTTAATGCTCATGTGAGGCATCACTTTTGTTCGTCTTTTGGTTAAAGTACTTGGCAATGTATTCAAAACAGAGTTAGGATGAGTTTTCTGCAATGTATTTCGAGCTGACGTGCTACAACTTGGGATGTTAGGAGGAATTGTAGACAATGGTACTCGATATGTGAAGTTTCTTCATCAGTTTTTGATTGAGGTTGTTGTGCATTTTCCTTATTCATTGACCTCAATCTTTTTGCTCTTTTGAATTGAAGTACAATTTTTCTTTGACGTCTGGCCTTTGTTTATCTTTTTCTTTTGAGAATCAGATTGAAGTGTTCATCCTCAAGAGCTTTTTGTTTATCCATTACTATTGAGTATTAAGATGGGAGGCTGTAATAAAATGGATGAACATGGAGACTGAATTTATAGAGTTAAATAATGTTCCCTCCAAATTTTTTTAGAGTAATTAAATGATACATATTGAATGTGGTGAATAATACGATATAGATTTCAAGTTAGTATATTGGTAAATGCAATGTTGCAGTAATCAAAGGGTTTATTAAAATATAATCATGTAATGCATTGTTTATGTAAAACGTGCATAATGACTAACAAAAATGATTTTGCATTGGTAAATGGCAACACTGCATAAATATGAAACTGTAATAACTGTTGGTGTATTGGTTTTGATATGTTTAATGATTGGAACATTCATTTGATGTAGATACACACCACTTTATCTTTTGTGTATAAGTACTGAGTTGATATTAATAAAATGTAAAATTAGTGTATAAATTTGATGTAGATATACAGCACTGTATCTTTTGTATATAAATACTGAGTTGATATTAATAAAATGCAAATTTAGTGTATAAATAATGAATAAGCGCAACCAGTTGAAACACAACAATGTTGATGAAGTTGTTTTTCAATATAAAAGGAAAGATGCAGGAGGCTAATAACAATTGGAAATGAAAATAGTTTTTAATTAGAGGTAGATAATATTATGATCAAATGCGTTATGATTAAAAATGATTTAATTTAAGCCACTGAAACTTGAATATATACTTTTGATATCATGTAAAAATTATAAATTGTAAGTTGAATCTACTTATGCAATACAAATTAATGTTGAAAGAGAAATAAGCAATTCATTAATAATAACACAAACGTAAATTACATGGAGATTGTTAAAACTGACATGAAACAAAGGAATAATGATAAAGTTATTTTTCAAGTCTCTTAAGTTGACATTTTCCTTCAAGGATATCCAAAAAGTCTTTGGAATAATAGCTTTTAGGAGGAAGGTTATGAATATCAATAACTTTCAAAGTCGTACCACCAAGAAACACGCACTTCTTCGAATGATCACAAAGCTTTCAATGAAAATCATTATGAAACACCGTGCCATTGTTAATTATGCAAGTCATATTTTCTTGAATTCGTTCCTTCCATTTTGGTGTATGGTCAGCACAAATCAATACTTGAATCCTATCATCCTGATGGCATAAGAAACCTAATCAATAACATCAGAACATTATTTTTCACAATATATAATATGATTTGAAAAGTTTGTAAAATGTTACAGCTGCATCAATGATAACCATCTCCAAATACTCTACGCCCTTGTTGTTAATAACGCTCCATGAGTCAATGACTCGGACAACCAATCTCCATGTTTCCTTTGTGTCGTTAATGTCCTTGACACAGTCAAATCTCCTACCCATCTTTTGCTTCTACAAATGAAAAACAAAATGGATTAATTTCAGGAAAAAACCAGTATATGTTTGTTCTATGTAATATGAAATAGAGACTAATCTTGATATGATGATTTAGGGTTTCGATTAAACAATCTGAAAATCGAAACACAAAAGCAAAATTGTTGAAGAATAGCGTTAAAGTCGAAAATTGCTTTCTGTGTATGAAATGTAATCAGAGAGAAGATGAATGGATGAAAGAAATTAAAATGAAGGGTCATCTCTTTTAAAGATGGAGGAAACAACAGAGGAAGTACAACAAATAGAAGAAAACTTGTGCAATGGATGAGGGTTCCCAATGTTAAATATTGAATATATGTATTGGAAATTGCAAGGATTATACGGGGAGAAGTTAAATATAATTGAACAAATAATTAAAATACAATAAAAAAAATTTCAATTAAATAAAATATTAAGAATTGTAATGACTTATATGCCCTTAAAAATCCTTACTAAAACTGATTTTAATTTTAGTTGATTAATGAAATAATTATGGTAGTAATTACTTTTAATCAAAATCATATATATTCTCTTTCTACTTTCCCCTTTTCTCAATCCAACATTTTCTTCACCTCTACTTTCTCATAATACAATAACTAACTTCAATCTCCTCTTACTTTTCCATCTTTCTCAATTCAATCACAAAACACCTCAATTTCTCTCTCATCGTTTCAATCTTGATTTTCCGATTCTGATCCACCGCGATTCATTGGTTTCAATTCTACCGCGAATAATCGAAAATGTTTAACGGTATGATGGATCCCGATTTGATCAGAATCGCTCAGGAACAAATGAGTCGCATGTCTCCCGCTGATATGGCTCGGATCCAACAACAGGTTTCCAATTTTTCTTCGATTTTGCATGTTGATTCGTTGAATTGTGTTCGTAATTTCATTGTGAATTCAATACATTTTGTTATTTTGATTTGGAGATTTGAATTTGAATTTGAATTTGAATTTGAATTTGAAGCTGAATGCTAGTGTTTAGGATTATTCATATATGTTTATATTGATATGATGTGGAGATTAATTATTGTTGTTGTTGATGTGGAAATGTAGATGATGTCGAATCCAGATTTGATGAGGATGGCTTCCGAGAGTATGAAGAATATGAATCCTGAGGATTTTAAGCTTGCTGCTGAACAGTTGAAGCATACTCGGCCGGAAGAAATGGCGGAGATTGGTCAGAAGATGGCTAATGCGTCGCCGGATGAAGTTGCGGCTATGCGTGCTCACGCGGATGCGCAGATTAAGTATCAATTGAGTGCGGCGGAGATGTTGAAGAAGCAGGTGAGTGGTAGTGTATTAGGTGTTTCTGTAAAACATGAATCCTTAGATGCAGAGTTTTTTTTTTTTTTTGTATTGGTATGTGTGGCATGAGATTGATCCAAAAGATAGAAGAAGTTTGGAGTAAGTTCCACGTAACTATACAAAATTGCGTATTGACTTGGAAAAAAACACTTTAGCTAGAATGGAGTTTCACAACATTGAATTTGACAGCTTCGAGTATCACTATTCTTGCAGTACGCCCATTTGTTGTTTCAGATTGTCATTGAGAATCAATCCCATTACTATTTTTCGTGAAGGAAGGGTCTTGTGTGCCTATTTTGGTCGTTAATGCTTAAAACTCAAATTTTCCACTGAAAAACCAATTTATGATGCCTTGAGGGTAATTTGTTTCCTCAGCTGTTTAGTCTTTAGGGATCCATGAATAGAATTGATTTCAATAATACTTCCATAGAATGAAGGGTCTGGTCCGAAAATATACTTGGTGTCATTGCATAAAGATATGAAATGCTACTTCTTGTACTACTCTAATAACTGATTAGAGTTATCATTTACTGTTAAACCAGTTGATGTCTGTCTTGTCTAGTGGTTGTCTTGATGAACTGAAATTAATTTTTTCAGGGAAATGAACTTCACAATCAAGGAAAGTTCGATGATGCTTTGCAGAAGTATAAGTTGGTAGGTTGACTTTTCAGATTGCTTAACTGTCTCCTCCACACCTTTCGTTGTTGTTTATCTCTATTTTGAGACTATAGGAAATTATCACTATAAGTCTATATCATCTTGTTTTAATTTTTACATTTTAGGCCAAGGAAAACATCAAAGAGATTCCATCTTTTCAAAGTAGAAAACTTCTTTTGGCATGCTCACTTAACTTGATGGCCTGCTACTTGAAGACAAGGAAGTATGATGAATGCATAAAAGAAGGTTCTGAGGTATTCATAATTCATTTCATTTACCATTGCAGTGGGATGTTAAGTTGTAAATTTTAATAGTCATGTGCAACATGTTAGTAGCGTTACTACTATGGGGAAATTTATCATTATAAATAAATTTCCATTGTAATTGTAATATGCAATAACATGATTGCTATGAATTTACTTTCTGTTTTGAAAATTGGCTGTTTCATCACATCAATGCATTAATGCGCTTTTAACTATGGTAGGTTTTGGCGTATGACGCAAAGAACCTCAAGGCTCTTTATCGAAGAGGCCAGGCATATAAGGAACGAGGCCTGCTACAGGTGACCTTCAAGTGACTTGATTAACTTCTTGTATTTTCATTTATATCTATATTTAATAGCTTTCCTGGTTTGTTTAGGATGCCGTCACTGATTTGAGCAATGCACTTGAAGTGTCTCCTGATGATGATATAATTGGAGAGCTTTTACGGTGCGTTCCTACTCCTTTCCACATAGTTACACCTCTTGTGATTTATAACCATCTAATTATGGGTGATTTTTCATCAAATCCTTCTACCATTCAACGTATAAATAATGGTTTGGATGCTGAATTAAGTATATATGTAATGTGATAACAGTTTTGTTTTTTACGATAGAATATTGAGTGATCTCTAATAAAGGAGTTGGTATGCTTGAAGTAAACTTCTGTTCAACTGTTTATTTCAGGGACACCAAAGAACAGTTGATAAAGGAAGGTGGTCATTGTGCTCCTGGAAGTATGTGCTCCCATCCCTTTTCCTTCTACCCCCTTCCACTTGGTCCTCGCCCTACTATGCTTTATGGCTCTAAATTTCTTATTGATGTCAGATCTAACTTTTTTTTGGCATCATGTTTGAAGGATTAGTAATTGAAGAAATAACTGAAGAAGTTGAGAATGTGCCTTCTGGAAACAACAGAAACTCTTCTACCGAACAAACGATTGATCAACCAAAAAAGTCTGGCGACTCTTCTAAGAGTTACAATATAGCTAACAATGGAAATCTAAAATCAAATTCAGACAGTATAGATACACTGAAGAAAGATCCAGAAGCCATCAGGTAGTTGGATTTTGTGTAAATGTATTAAGAATATTATGCTTCTTTGTTTTTAATTCAATCATTGGTATAAAAATAGATCAAAGAATAGGCCCTCAATCTTGTTTTTTATTCTACTACAGATCATTCCAAAATTTTATTTCCAAAGCTGATCCTGCCACTCTGGCTTCTTTGAACATTGGGCAATCCCAAGACGTGTCTCCAGATATGATTAAAGCGTCCTCGGATATGATCGGCAAGATGTCACCTGAGGAACTTCAAAAAATGTTCGACATGGCGTCTTCATTTCAAGGGAACAACCCATTTCTCAGAGGAGGTTCCTCTGATTCTCCTTTCAACTCTGGATCAGTTCCTCCCAATGTGACACCTAATATGCTTAAAACAGCAACTGATATGATAAGTAAAATGCCACCGGATGACCTTAAGAAGATGTTTGAAATGGCATCCTTAATGAAAGGGAAAGAATCTATTCCATCAGCAGCAGCTGTAGACAAGAAAGAAAGAAATTTGTCACAGTCAAACTTCCCATCCTCAAGCACCACTCGTGCTTTTGGAGAATCAAGTTCTTCTGACAATGCGTTTTCAAATATTATAAATGCTTCAGAGCCAAACTTCCCATCCTCAAGTACTGATTTACAAGAACAGATGAGAAACCAGATGAAAGATCCAGCTATGCGACAGGTATGTTCATAAAGGAGATGAAATGATTAGCGTCCTTCTTCTACATACCTGGCTAGAATAAATGCAACCAAATTTCATCTTTCACTTCTCATATGTTACTAGTTAGTATTAGTATTCCTTCTTGTCTTGTATACAAATAATAAAATATTTAAAATTGGCAGTCTTAAATATAAGCAAAATTCAACTGTCATCACTGTTTAAGGGTCGTATTCCAAAATTCCATTGAACTAAATTTAGATTCACCTTTCTAATATTTTATATTCCAAAAATGTGAGGTGTGCTAAAAGTTGCAGTTTTGTTTAGCATGAGAAGGCGGACAAACTTGTGTTCATTGTTTTTGCAATATATGTCATTGAAGACATATTTGGTCAAAATAGAAAATTTGATTATTTTTTCACGACTTATATGCAACTAACCAACTTTTTTAAGGTGTGGGTTTCATTTTTTGCAACATATATATATGACCCGATGTAGTAATTAGTAATTTCTGATTAAGTATACCCTTTAGTTATGTACTTCTGTGGGTTTTTTAATCCTGGTCAATATCGTGCACTTGTGTTTTTCGTTTTGGAAAGTACTATACAGATTTTATATCTTGGGCACATTCTGATGTTCAGTAATATCATGTTTGCTTCCTTCTTTTAATTTTAGTTTATGCTATTTTGCAGATGTTCACATCATTGGTTAAAAATATGAGCCCAGAAATGATGGCAAACATGGGAAAACAATTTGGTTTCGATCTTTCACCAGAAGACGCTGAAAAAGCTCAGCAAGCCATGTCATCCATATCACCAGAGAAATTGGAGAAAATGGTACCTTCTTTTCCAAACTCAAATATATTTTTTTAAATTGGTACTCATCAATAAAAGTTTGTGCTTAAGATTTAGATGGTAAGATGAAGGTGCAGCCATAGAGTATACGAGCTTGTAAAACATTCGAATACCAGTAACATGATAGTTCAGTGGTTAGCTTTATAATCAATCACTGCTCTGTTAATGGGTGATATTATGATAGAAACCAACTGATATAATATAATTATTGCTACTTAACAATATAAATGTTAATTAATGAAAAGTCTAACAATACTCCCCTAAAGTTTCCCCTTGTTTTCACGGTGAAAGAAATTCCTAGAGAAAATGTATCCTCCCGGATCTCATAACCTGAAGTAAAAAGATTGATTGTTCACGAGATAGAAAAAATTCCTTCCGGATCAATTTTGATCGCTGCTGTCAGCCCTCTAGTGAATGATTGTTGGGGTGACAGCGACACCGGTAATGGAACTTTCTCGTTCCAGATTTTATCTTAGGATTAGCAGCAAACACCGTGTAAGACCCGAAGTCTGGTGATTTCGAAAATGTTGTGTGTTGGTCTAACCATTCCGGCGGTGGTCTCTCATTTGGTTCTTGATTCTCTACTGAATCAGTTTCTGGCCCAAATTTCTTGAGAATTGCCTTTGTAAAACTGCCCCAAGTGGCAATTGGATTGACTGAAATTCACAGTCGGTACCATGCGATAGCTCAACCATTCATCCACTACAAAACTTTTGGTATTTATCTTATTTACATACACCTCATGCATCAAAATATTTCTCAACCCTAGTCATCCTCCCATAAACATCAGTTCCTTCAAAGATTGATATTGTGATAGTAACCAACTGATATAGAATAAGAAAATAGGGAAAATCCCTTTAAATTACAAAACAGTACCGCAGAACTTCAAGGGTCTGCACCTCCCAATGCCAAAATGACCCATTTTCCTATCCAATTCCACAATAATCATCGTCCCAATGTCTTCCTCTATTTATGCTAAACCTAAACACTCTGAATTAATAGTATAATAATTATAATAATTATTACCCACTAACCCTCTTAATAATTTTTAACAGTTACAAAATTGAAGAGTAACATATTGCAAGCTGTAACTCTTTGAATTCTCTTATCCAATCTCTAAGCTCTTTCAACACTTCATCAAAAATACTTTACATTCCTTCCATACTTGATGACAACCAAGGTTGTCAATATCAGGATTTTGCATAAAATCGAGAGGGGATAGCAAGATTGTAAGATATAAGATCGTAACTAAGATTGGAAGATTCTACCCCATTGTTTTAGTAAGATCGAGAGGGAGTGACGAGATCGTAAAACATAAGATCATAACAAAATTGTATGATACTACTAAGACGAAAAAAATAATACTACATATTTGAAGTATTTACATTATATTTTAGGAGGCAAGTTTATTCATGGGAAAATGATCTTTTTTCATATTCTTTAGATCCGTATGATTGAGTTTTTATACTATCACATGAAACATTTGTCACTTGTCAGATATTAGTGACATATTTGGTCCATTACTTGGTTTATCATGAGTCTAATTTAAAAAAACCCTACAACTAATATGTTTATTTTCTAAACACTAAATCTAAAACTTCATCATTTCAAAAGGCATATGCACATTCATCACCCCTAAGCAGTAATTGTTGCGCCTCTGCATCTTGGTGGTGGCTGGAAAACGACCAATTGTGGTTGGAACCGACCAAGATCACTCATATTCATAATCAATGCTTTACGAATTTATCTCACAATTTAGCTACAACATACGATTCTACTTGAGACCTGGATTGTTGGAGGTGAGGGAGATCGTAAAATCTTCAAGATTTTAAGATTTAGATCGTGATTTTAACAACCATGATATGATGACCACTCCATTTTTTTTCCTGTTTCTGTCCCCGAACAGTAGTGCTCTAATACCATTTGATAGAAACCAACTGATATAGAATATAAAAATAAGGAAAATCCCTTGAATTACAGAAGAGTACCGTAGAACTTCGAGGGTATGCAACTCTCTAATGGCAAAATGACCCGTTTCCTATCAAATTTCACGATAAAAGACTCTTCCCTATCTTCCCCTATTTATTCTAAACATAAAACACAACATTAATAAAACATAACTGCTCCTAATACTATAATAATTTCCCACTAATCACTTCTAATAATGTAACATTGCTACTTAAAAATATTACAGTTAATTAATGAAAAGTCTAACATATTACTTACGGGTATGAGCTTGTGCAGAGTAAAACACACATCTTTAAGTCAGGTTCTAACTGGCAATCTCAGTGTTATCATTATCAAATTATAAATAGCGGATAATGGCAGGCAGCGAAAAATCTGCCTTATAAAGATGGTGTTGTGGCTTATGGCGTAAGCATGGCGGACATAATCGGTGTTGCAGCCTGTAGTGCATGGCACAAAATCTGCCATGCTATAGCGCCACAGCTAAAACTTGACAACACTTGCCTTGTAGCACCATGGCCCATGGTGTGCCTACAACCAATCGGATTAGGATACATAATAAAAAAGAATTAGAGTAGTTAAGATTAGTTATAGAGAAATATCTTGTTTCACATATGTAAACATTTAGTGAGTAAGCCGTGAATCTGCTGTTGAAGGGGGGATTGTTAGAGAAGGGATCTCTCTCTCTCTTCTCTTTCTCATTCCTTCAATTCAATTTTTTTGGTTCCTAACACAAAGTAATCACTTTTTTGAATAAAATAACACGAGTTCTATTCCTAGAAATAGTATAGTTTGTAATTTTTTTGGTCATACTAGTACTAAGACAAACCTTTTCACTGTCTTTGCAGATGCTTTGGGCGGACAGGCTTCAAAGAGGGGCTGAATGTGCAAAAAAGACAAAGAACTGGTTTCTAGGGAAATCAGGCCTTGTCTTTGCAATATGCATGCTCATTTTGGCTTTCATTCTTCACCGGTTAGGTTTCATTGGTAGCTAGAATAAGGGTCACACATTATGAGATTCCTTAAGAATTCAAACTCAGGCACAGCTTTTTGAGGTGAAATGGTTGAATATGCTGTGTCTGCCGAAGTAACATAGGAGAGAAGAGGTTGAAACCTAGTTTATACCCCATTGGTTATTTATTTGGAAATCAATGCCATAATGTTCAGATTGAGAATGTGATTGCATTTTTTTTGGTTTATCTGTAATATATTAGATTTTGAATTGTTTATCATTTAGAACTGAGAAGAATCCTACAATTCAGTAACTTTAGTCATTACCATACCCTAATTTTAATGCTTGTAGTTGTATTCCGAACAATACCTACTAATTTAAGTAATTTATTCTGATCTAAATTGATGTTAAGGTAATGTGTTTGATCAAATCATTTGTCATCATCTTAGCCATAACATTCACTTTAACACTCTATTTTTAATATCAACTTTTTTATTGGATGAAATGTATGTGGTTTCATCCTTTTGAAACAAATTTACTTAAAATGGCAAAAAAAAAATTGTGTTGGAAAGAGAATGTTAGTGAGTATTGCAAGCACTACTGATAGAGAAAATTTTCATTTTTTTTGAGTGAATGTTTTTGAGAAAAGAATGCTTGTAATTAATATTCATTTATTTATTTGTTTTGAGGTTATTATGAAGAGATGAAAATGATTTGTAGATTTTTTTAAGTCTTAAAAAATCTTTATCCGTTACATTTTGAATTATGAAGAAAACTATCCCCCACTCAACTTAGGGGACTATCCTTTTCTTTTTTCGTTTTTTCAAGTCCTACCCTCCTCAATTTTAAAACAAAATGTAAGATTCTATTTGAAAGTTTAGAAGTAGAGGGGAGGGGATAATTTTGAAAAATAAGGAAGAAAGAAGATGAAGGAAGGATTGTCCTCCAATTTGAATGAGAATTACGAGATGTTGAAAGAAAATTTGGAAAATATAGATAAATTCTTCAAATTCTGTATGTTTTAATAATACTTTTAAAATTTGAAATAAATTACTCATAAATATTTATTACCTACAAAAATACTAAAAAAAGACGTCACGTGTGCTCTATTAGGGCAAAACACCGGGAATTAAAAGGCCCCCACTGAGGAAGAAGATAAAAAAGATCAAAGCACAAAGAGATTGAAAAGTGCGGACCATAAACCGGAGAAAGGTGATCTCCATATCAATCAAGGAAGATCGGCTATATCATACAAGGCAATGGTCATAGGAGAGTCTTCTAAGGGCGGTAAATAACCGTCAAGAATAAAAGATAATGAAGAACTCATATATTCCTTGGGAGAGATGAAGATTGAAGAGCACGGTAAATAACCGTCAAGAATAAAAGATAATGAAGAACTCATATATTCCTTGGGAGAGATGAAGATTGAAGAGCCCAAATTTAGAGAGTGTGAATGCCCGAAAATCATCCTCTCAGAAGAAGAAAAGAGAATCTCAGTGTCGTGGAAAAAGGGAGTCATTGTGAAGATGCTTGGTAGACGTATTGGTTACAAAGCACTCGAAAGCTGTCTGAACCAGATGTGAGCGAGGAATAAAGTTATGAGTATTGTTGATCTAGGGTAAGAGTATTACCTTGTGACCTTCAAAAGAGAAGAGGACCAATATGCAGCTATGGATATGATTTGTTTATGGATTAAGTGGAGTCCCGTAACTTGATGGATCCGGGCTCTTTTAAGCACCGATACACTTGGAGGGGACTCATCTATCAAGGAGGAGTTCAAATACATGAGAGACTCGATAGAACATTGTGCAACAATTTATGGAGGATCTAATTTCCAAATGCTTATATCAAGGTCTTAACCAAAACGAAGTTCTCGGATCATCATCCAATTCTCATTTTGCCGAAAGAGGAGGAGATATGCAGAAGTAATTAGAGATTCCATTTTGAGAGTGTGTGTCTGCTAGAGGATAATTATGAAGGGTGGATCAATGAGACGTGGAAAGAGGATTGCTTTTCAAACCAATTTTGCATAGTCGAATTGGGAAACAGACACTTACGTTAACTGAGTATGTACATGCCCTTAAAAGCTATAAAAGGGCAAATGGTTGCAGATTTCATAGTTGACCATGCCATGGTCGAAGTTCCCCGAGACTTTGTTGAGCTCGAACCTTGGAGGTTATACTTTGATGGTTCTACTCATAGAGAAGGGACTGGGATATGGGTCTTAATTATTTCTCCTAACAAAATTTAAATACAAGATTAATGGTCATTGCTCGAACAACGAGGTTGTATATGAGGCTTTAATAGATGACCTTGAAACCTTGTTTGAATTGGAGGCAACTAGAGTCGAAATAAGAGGTGACTCTGAACTGGTTGTCAAGTAAATAACAAGGGAATACAAATGTGTTAAGGAAAATTTGATTATGTATTTTGTTATAGCAAGCATGTTGTTGCAAAAGTTTGAGTATGTGAATATTAAGCACATCTCTCAACTCAAGAGTCAGGAGGCTAACGACTTGGCTCAAATTGCACCTGGATACAAGGTATCAAAGGAGAAATTGGAAGATTTGACCGAAGTTCGAGGAAGATTAGTGGAGACTAAGCTATCTCCATCAGATTTGGAAACGACAAAGCTGGGTTATACAGATGTGGAAAATTTTGAAAATTTTGCTATTGATAACTTAACAAACGCAAACTGGAGAAAGCCAATAGAAAATCCTACAACTTCTACAGAGCGAAAGATCAAGTACCGTGCTTTAAGTTATACTCTTATGGGAAAAAATTATTTAAAAAGACACCTAAAGGGATTTTACTCAAGTGCGTTAGTGAAAGTGAGGTATATTTGGCTCTGTCGAATGTCCATAGTGAGGCATGTGGGGCTCATCAAGTTGGCCATAAGATAAAGTGGTTGTTGTTTCGATAAGGCATGTATTGACCAACAATGTTGATAAATTATATTGAGGTCGCTAAAGAGTGTCAAGAATGCCAGGTACATGTAGGAATTCAACATGTTCCTACGAGCGAATTGTACTCCATAATCAAACCTTGTCCCTTTAGAGGTTGGGCCTTAGATCTGGTTGGCGAGATTCGACCAGCATCATCCAAAGGTCAAAAATACATTTTAGTAGGGATTGATTACTTTATTAAGTGGATCGAATCCATTCCTTTGGTGAATGTTGATCGAGAAGCAGTGATTGAGTTTATTCAAAGGAACATAATTTATAGATTTGGAATCCGTGAGACCATTACAACTAATCAAGGGTCAGTGTTCATTGGTGGAACGATGCAAGAGTTTGCTAAAAAAGTGGAGATTAAATTGTTAACATTTACACCTTATTATGCCCAGACAAATGGTCAAGTCGAAGCAACGAATAAGGTAGTGATTGGGTTAATCAAGAAACATGTGGAGAAAAAGATAAAGAATTGGCATAAGACCTTGGATCAAATTCTTTGGGCTTGTCGAACTTCTCCCAAAGAAGCCACCAACGCTACACCCTTTCGATTGAATTATGGCCATGACGCAGTATTACCAGTCGAAATTTGTCTCCAATCAACTAGAATCCAGAGACAATATCGAATCCCATAAGAATCCTATTGGAAGATGATGTTGGATGAATTGGTGATTTGGACGAGAAAAGATTAAATGCCTTGGAATAGTTAAATAGACAGAAGAAGAGAGTAGAGAAAACTTATAATAAAAGGGTTAAGATTAAAGTTTTTTTGACTGGAGAGTTGGTATGGAAAGTAATCCTACCCATTGATAAAAAAGATATGACATTGGGTAAATGGTCCCCAAATTGGGAAGTCCCATTCCATGTTATCCAAATATTTTTGAATAACACTTACGAGATTGAAGAGTTAGCAGAAGATCAAAGACTTCCGAGAGTAAATGGTAAGTATTTGAAACAATATAAACCTATTCTGCAGAAAGTCAAAATATTAACGAAATAAACTAAGTGCAAAATAAATGCCAAAATGGTAATACAAGGTTGCCAAAATGGTTTAGTTGTTCGTTACACATTACCAAAAAGTTCAAAGCTATAAAGAAGATAAAAAATAATGCAACATTTCTCTAAGCACCAAAGTTAGTTCGAAGAGAAGCCTTCATTTGCTTGTACTTTCTAGCAGAAACCAGCAAGTGACATTCGATTATAGACTTGCTCATAGTGAGAGTCTAAATTTATGCTCCTAATTTTTGATCTCACTCGACATGGTGAACGCCCACTTTGATCTCCTCATCAAGTTATTGACGATCAAGCTTGTTGATTTCCTCCTAGAGATTTCCGGATTTCTGGATATTAGCTTGAAGCATTTTAATTTGTTCTTCCCAAGTAGAAATGTTGGCAGCACAATCTTTGAATTATTTTATGTTTTGTGAAAAAGATTTCTCCAGCTCTTCAACCTTGGTGGTAGATTCAGTGGCTGCATCCCACTCTGCCACTTGAGTTTCCAGTTTGTTGCCAATATTAGTTGAAATATCTCGCTTACGCAAGAGATTTATAGAGACTTGGTTGTAGCGGTAGAAATGTTGAGACTAAGCCATTGGATTGACTTGACTCGTATAGATCAAATTAAAAATCTCCACCGCGGTTTATTGTTTCCAAAGGAATGGGAAAAGAGCGAATAATCCAAAAGAGGGGGAAATAATCTAAGTTTGGGGGTTGATTATGTAAAGGGAAGATATTAGCAACATAAACATCTACGGTACTCCACATGAACCTCTTTGAAAATTTGTGTATTTTGGCTATAAAATGTTGTATAAAAAATAGATGGTGGAGATGAGAAAATAAGTATATTTTTATGATTTTTGAACCCGCCACGGTTGTGAACCTTTAGTGCCTATGTACCACCTTCCGTGCAATAGGGAATCAGGGTACTCGTAGTTCACCTTTAAAAATGTTAAAACACCTATGCGTTGGTTAATTTTAAGAGACGAGACATCATCGTCATTGTCCGAGTGGAAGAACGTACTTAATACCCACAACCATGAGAAAGGAGAATTTGCGTCATCTCAAAGTGGAGGATACAACTTGGATTTTAAAA